TCGCCGTTCGTCCGACAATTTTTTCGGCAAACCTTACATGGCTGGACATAACATGACATGAAATGACTAAATATACATGAATTCCTCGGGAGTGTTCGGCTAGATTTTGAAATAGCTCGGGAGGGCTTATATAGCACCTCCGAGTGCATTTATGCTCTTAACATTAAACTAACACAACAATTTCTACTTGATCTTTCTAATATGAACATAAATACATTAAAAGAGGGTTAATTTGATTTTACCCCTTCGATTGCTTGGTGAAAAGCTAAGGCTTGCACGTGCTTGCTTGGTGTGCACTTGTCTTTTCTCGGCAATAGCTAACACAAGCTAACTTCTCCAGCTTTACCTTATACTCACGGTATCTTTTTATCTTTTTAGGTCTCGGTTTTTCTCTCTTTTCGCGACTTAGCTCGGACGTGCGTGAAGAATGAAGCTTACGATTGTGAACTTATATAAATAGATAAAATACTAAATAGAGGTGCAAGATGATGCTTAACCGTGTCATGCCACTTGTTTTAACCGTGTGCTTCGGTGGCACTTTTCGAGCTTAGTCGTCATGTGTGGTGGCGACCGAATGGCCTAGTCATGGAGTGAAAGGCTATGGTCATGCCATGTAGCTGAAGCTACTAGGTGACAAGGCTTTGCAAGTGGGAATATTATATCCTTACCAGGCTTATCTCTCGACAATTACTAGGACATTGGGCATGGGTTTTCCTAACTTGACTCGACAATTACTAGGGCATTGGGCATGGGTTTTCCTAACTTGATCTTAGTGCTTAGCTTAGCATAAGCTAATGATGGGCGATGGTTAGAGCATGGTGCATGCACGTATGCATGGTAGTGCACGCTGCTCACGGTTGTGCATGGTTGGCGTGCGCGCCGTGCATGGTGCTCGCGCAGAGCATGGTGCACGCACGTATACATGGTAGTGCACGCTGCTCATGGCGATGGTTAGAGCATGGTGCACACACGTATGCATGGTAGTGCGCGCTGCTCACGGCTGTGCATGGTTGGCGTGCGCGTCGTGCATGGTGCTCGCGCGTGCACATGACCTAAGCCTGGTGCTTGGACGGTAGTGCACGCTGCTCATGGCGATGGTTAGAGCATGGTGCACGCACGTATGCATGGTAGTGCGCGCTGCTCACGGTTGTGCATGGTTGGCGTGCACGCCGTGCATGGTGCTTGCGCATGCACATGACCTAAGCCTGGTGCTTGAACGGTGTACCAATGTGAACGCGACGATGTATAGGGATGGTGTATATACATGACAACTTAAACTGAATTTACTCATTTTTGGTTGAAACTTGACCTCGATAATTAATTTGAATATTCTTGACTTCGAATAATTAATCCCGAATAATAATGTCCGTTTATAAAATAAACGGTCCAGAAATTAATTATAGAAACTAACTCGGTTAATAAATAAACAGAATAGACTTTCTACTTAAAGTCGAACTTATTTATGAATAACTTATTAACTGGGGTCGAAACTCATCTTTGACGATTTATCGAATATTCTCAAATTCGATTAATACGTCAATACTGGAATAATTAATCCCGAACTTACTAATGTCCATTTATTAAAATAAACGGACTAAGATTATTTACTAGAATTAACTCGGTTAATAAATAAAATTAACCGCAAATACTATCGACTTAACATTGAACTTGGAACTTAACTAGCTGCATAATTTAGGCTCGAATACTATTACTAATCATTTATTAATAAGGGCTAGCTTATACTCGTAAGCTAGTATCTTTCCTTTATTAAAAAGACTGGGGCGTTACAATATATCCCCTTAAACTATTTCCGTCCTCGGAAATACTAAAACTGAATGTATAAGCTTAACTCAGAGCTTATACTAAACTTGACGGCATATACTAGAACTCAATGTCTGAACATTGAGCTCTAGACTCTGCTCATGGTTTTGCTTTTAACTGAAGAATCGTTAATTCATAACAACTGGATAAATTGTTGATTAATACTGGCTAGAATATGGACACCTTTCTGATTAAAGGTGTTTCACTGATTAAACTCAATACTCAAGAGATAATTCTTGAGCATACTGAACATCACCTCCTGGTTGATTGTCGATCTTCGGTATAGACTTCGGTTGTAAGACCCAAGTCATTATGGTACGCACAGAAGAGTTCAGAGATACGTGCTTATACAAGTTAGGACAACTAGAAACCTGGGTAACTACCTGTCATGAAAACCTACCCGATGTCGCGGCACATCGTTCGTGGCACTATGCAGTGCCGCGCACCTGCTCCTCATCTAGTGAGTGCGGCATGCCTGCATGCAGCACCTGGCGAACATTGCACATGCGACGTCGATGTAGTCTGTATAACTGATTATATTTGTATCTCATGCTAGTAACCTCATTGTACTAATATGCTAACTCTCCTTGATCTCCCGGCGTACTAAGACTCGGATATGGCTTCCTTCTCTTTTTGCGACGTGCGCCCTCGTATGTAAGGCTCTGGTTTGTCACCACGGTGTTGTCTGTTGATGATTAGTCTTCTCTGTCACGAACGAAAGATGTGTCATATAGTGACACGCTATATCTGGTAATGTTCACCTTTCCTGAGGCCAAAATAACCTCAAGAATCTCTACTGTGATCCCTCAAATTTTCTGAATTTGAGAATCGAGGCACTGGATATACTTGTGAAGAAATCTTACAAGTCTTGTCTTATTAGACAGACCATCCTTAACATTCACACGACTGGATAAATTTTACTTGACTTTTACATGACTATATAACTCTTACTTAGACTCAGAAAGCTATCCCGAGACATTTAAATAATTGTCTCGGAACTGGAACATGGTACTTACTAACTTACTAAGATCTGTTAAGGTTCGACTTCAAGTTTCCAGGTAAATTTGGACTAATGACTTGTATTTCAGACCTCCACATTTAACCCGGCATAGTAACTATTTTACGTCGACCTTACTCATGAACATTCACTTTAAATCATGAACATTGACCCATAAATTTGTACTATATAGGGCTGCTCCACTATCAACTGGTCCCGCAAGTTCAAAATAAATAACTGATCTCGAATTTTTGGTAACCATAACTTGGAGTATCAAACTGATAAATACCTGACTTATTGACTCTAAAGGATGTCACTTTCCGAAACTATACTGCTATGGTCCAGCTTCAAGCCTCCATGGTATACCCTGCTAAGTGGCTCTTATTTCAAGCCTCCATGGTAACCCGGTATAATGACTCTTATTTCAAGCCTTCATGATATACCCGGTCTAGTTACTCTTATTTCAAGCCGCCACGGTATCCCGACATAATGACTCTTATTTCAAGCCTCCATAATTTACTCGGCTAATTAGCTATTATACGCCCTCGGCTTCAAGCCTCCAGGTAAATTCGGACTAGTGACTCTTATACACTGGAAACCTTTCTGATATTAGTTTCAGAAATATACAACCTCTAGCGTCTGATTTTAGCTCTGAACTGGGTCTACTGGTCTAACTTAGAAAATTTGAGTCTTTTCCCTGATCTGGATTAAGGAATTCTTACTGAAATGTGCCAAATGGTCAGCAAAATGAGTAATTTCTGGTAGAAAACGCTTGAGAAACATGTCTTATAAGATTTGTACTGCTTAATAGCTCACAAATCTCTTGAGGAGCCACTAAATTAACCCGAGAAAAACTAGAGTCGAATTATCGGATGAACTGGTATAAATCGACTATGTCTTAAAAATACTCTATTACTGACTCGAGCATCTATACTGGTTTCTAGGGTCAATATCTGACACGGTACTGAGCATAGACTTAAACATTTGTTTATTTATATAAAACTGTAAATCAGCACTTACCTGGTAGTCGGTGAGGCGTAAGCGTGGTGTGGTTGAGTTTTCTGAAAACTTTCTGACTTACTGACATACTCAGATACACAAAAACGTGCTCTGATACCAATTGTAACACCCCGCTAGCTTATTAAAATCAGAGTCAAATTTTTGCAAATTCTTTTCGAAAAATACGTATTGGTTTGCGAAGTCGTGATTCAGGATGCTACTGAAAAACCTTTCCTTTTCTGAAAATTCGTTAATCTTTTCTGAGTTAAAACTGTTAAGAAAAACAAATTATATTTAATCAAACAAGCATGTAATACTGTACAAAATCCAATCGGTAAATCGAACCCAAAAGCTAGAAATCAACATGCAAGTTCGAAAACCTGAAAATGTCAGCGGAATAAAAACGTGGCAAAATAATATATACAGTACAAGTCTGCAAAATAGCGTAAAGCCAAACTCCACGACCACCTGCTCAGCTCATTCCTCAGGACCGACCCTGTGACCTGAAAAAGATAATATAGTGGGGGCGTGAGCACTAAAAGCCACTATGCTCCGCAGAAACTTATGCTGAAATAAAACAGTAATAATAATTGCGATATTATGATCAGAGACATATATATAAACTGTGTCTATGTCCATGTCTGGCTGATCAACAGTATAAGCTACTACTGGATCAGGTGTCTGCCGGCTATAATAAACTCCGCCGGAACCTTGTGCACACCCTAGTGGGCAGATTACGCCACTAGAACTCAGAATGGATTTAGGGCACCTGAACCAGCCACCATTCTAAGCGGAACTAGATATACATACCTTGACATGATAGCTGTAATTATACTTAACGTATTACTCAGCCTGAGTCCCGACTTGAAATGTTGGTTTGTAAGTGCTGCTGCTGACTGATCAAACTGTAAAAATATATAATAAACAAATACTAAGTACTATGCTCAGACTGACTAAAAATAACTGCTAAGATGCTCGACTCGAACTTAAATATTTAACTGGATATACTGAAATAATCTCGGATTCTAACTTGACTGATAAATCTAGACTGAACTGGAATTACTGAACTGAACTGAACTGAACATGACT